ATCTGGTTGAAATGCATTAAGAAATGTAAATTTTCCATTAGGAGTTGGTGATGTTGTTACACCAACATAACGATATCCATAATTACAACTATCTAAATGAAACCACATTACAAATAATTTTGTTTTTTCATTCCAAACAACTTTTGGCCTTTCAATTATATATGAACCTTGGCGATCTTTTATAGAAACGATAATGAAAAAAAAGACTCTGTCATATCCTGTATTTTGAGGCGCTCTTTCAAACAAAAATAGAAACCTGAAATGTATAGTATCAGTTTGAACAGAGAATTTTGGGTTGCGAGATCAGAAAACCATAAAATGAGAAAAAAAAGGGAAAAAAAAGATTTTCCGTTTTATGCGAAAAATGCATACTTTTCAACCGAAATCATCAGCGATTTTGCTGAAAAAGGACATGTCCAATAAAAAAAAAAAGCATCGTTTCTGAAAGAGCAGACTTCAAACTATCTTCCCATGCATTTATCTCAATTTTTTTGACTTTCACGAAAATCGACTTTTTTGAGGGGGACTTAATAACAGTCGCATAGCCATGCTGTTTATTGGTTTGTTCTTAACACAATGGGTGAATCCGTGGGATTTCTACCACTTTTCTGGAAAAAACCTTTCTTTCAGAATATTGGCACAGAACACTCTTTTTCCAAAAAGTGGTAGAAATCGCACGGATGCACCCATATTTTTTTATGTCATAAATGTAGTTTGGTATTGTTGTTTTTTTTCACGTTGATACAGTGATGATCTGAATACATATGTTAAACTAATAAACGTGCAAATTCTTTTTTTATTAACTGTTCCCATAGCATTTCGTGGAACATGATCAAAAATAGTGATTGAATCAGGTAATGAATAATTTGATAAATATTCTTTTGAATATTGTCGTACTGTATCAATTATTAAATCATTTGTATTATTTAATGATTTTGGTACAATAATAGCAAGAATTTTTTGACCAAGTGTTGGATCATCAATACCAATAACTAAACATTCAGATATATTTTTATGTTCTAATAAAATACGTTCAATATCTAATGCAGATATTTTATAACCAGCACGTTTAATTATATCCATTGATTGTCTATCACGAATTGAAAAAACATTTTTTTCAGAATCATAACGACATAGATCATCTGTTTTAAAAAAAACTATCATCAGTTGTAAATGTTGTACGTGTTTCATTACGTTTTCGCCAATATTCTTTAAATAAAATTGGATTTTGAATTAGAAGTTCACGTTCAATTGGTTCATCGATATCTTAATAATCATTGATAATTAATAAATTTTTTTTTATTTTCAAAGAAATTTACTTTATATTTCAACTTTTGTATTATCACTATCAGCTTCTACTAATGGTTCATGACCCATAGGTGATATTGTACTTTCTCGTGCAATTCGAATAGTAACACCAGGCATTGGTCGACCAACAGTACCTAATTAGAATTAATTATCATTAAAATATCATTTTTTTAAAAATCGAAATCTGGAATTCTTTCTCCTTTTAATGGATTTGTTAATGCTATACCACATTCAATCATTCCATAACGTTCAAGAAGATGATGACCAGTTATTTCATACCATCGTCGATGAATACTTTCAGGTAATGGAGCTGAACAACACATCATTAAATGAGTCATTTGTGAACATTGTTCACGAACAAATTCTCTTGTTTGAGGACGTCATGCTTATTTTCTTTCACAATCAAGTATAAGTTTTGAATATATTGTTGGTACAGCTGCAAAAACTGTTACATGTTGTTCAAAATCTGGCTGAACTAAATGTTCCCATGCCTAAATAAAATAAAAAAAATAATTTAAAAAATAATTTTCAATAACATTTGATGCATCAAATTGAGGAAGCATGATAACTGTAGCACTGATGAAAAGTGGTGTTAAAAGTCCATTTATAAGACCATGAATAGGATGAACAGGTAAAACATGTAATATAACTAAATATTAAAAAACAACGAAAATAAGATTCATGAAAAGCGCAGGTAACGCACAGACGTTTTTTCAAATTCAGAAGCATATATCTCGACAACTAATGGAGCTAGAGCGATGAAACCTTTAGCAAATATATATTCGGCGAAGTTCTACTTGCCTTAAAAATTTCAAGTTTCTATCTTTGTGCAATCGAGTTTTACACAAGAAACAGTGGTCAGTAACGCACAGACAAAAAAGACCCTCCTCTTGCAGTACTGGCGAAAGAAGTGATAAATCCTGCGAACTGCTCCATGTTAATGAATTGTGTGAGAGAAGGTTTTGTAGCTCAGAGTTCGGGCTATCTTTTGGAAAAATGAAGACATCAACATTTTGAAAAATGAGCGAGCTATTGACAAAACATTAAGTAACGCACAGACGTTTTGGTAATGCACAGACATGAATTTCTACAAAAAATTCCCAAATCTAAAATTTTTTTTCGTATTTGAAAATATCACCTTAGAACATCAAATTAATGATGTTCATTTATATTTCAAGCAGTCACTATTGCTTTATGTAAATTTTTTTTGATGATCATACCTGTAAAGTATTCTGCTTTTTCACTAGGGACTCCAATTGATCCATCGCTTTTAACTTGGGACATACATGACTATAGGTAATTTCTTATGCTGATGCTGAATTTGATATTCATTTGTGCTCTAAGATGTTTCTAATATGGCTCTCTAAATATCCGATGTCTAGAGGACTCTCATAAAATATGAGATACAGAAATTCTAACCTGTCGAGATTGTAGAGTATGTCAGATTACCTATATAAAAAGATTTCCGACTTCACAAATACATTTCTGCTGAGGTATGAGGATTTTACGAGCCAAAATATCAGAACTGATGCAATTTTTTTCTAAAATCATTACTAAAAGCTTGTCAGCGCAGCTCCTTTGGGACTGAAATGTGGAACTCACATATCTCCTTTGGTTTCATTATACTAATGACAAAATGCCCAATATTTAAAATCTCCAAAATATAAGAATTTTTTTTCTAAAGATAATCGATTATTAGAAAATGCTATATTTTTATCTCTAAGTTTCGAACAGAAATTTTTTTTCATGAAATTGTTATGCTCTGTAATGGGAGGGGGGTGTCTGTAATGTTCTCTTTCCCGTTGCTATGTGCCTGTAATGGGGTGGGAAGCCGCCAACCTCGAACTGAAAACTTACACTCACTATTTTCTTCGAAAACATACGTGAGTTTCACAAAATTTTCGTACTTCAAGAAAACGTATTTGTTAAGCCAGCAATCTTTTTCTATAGGCAACTTGACATACTCTACAATCTCGACAGCTCAGAATCTCTCTATATCTCATATTTTATGAGGGATCTCCAGACACTAGATGTCTAGAGATCTGTATTAGAAACATCTTAGAGCACAAATGAATATCGGATTTTGAATCAACATAAGAAACTACCTATACTCAAGTATATTTCAAGTTAAAAGCGATACATTAATTAAAGACTCTCTTTTATCAGTATTAAGATGACCTTTCTTCTTCAAATTTTTTTCGGTAACGCTTCTGTTATTGAGCCCCGGTGAACTTCATATCAAGTAAATGTTTTATACTCACCGAATACGAAATAAATTTACTATATGCCGAAATAATCTAGAATTAACGGAGCATGATACCTGTGAAGATTTCCAGAAGTCCTCTTAAAAACTTTTGTGCTTTTATCTCATATTTTATTCGAAACTAAGTAGTCATCAACAAAAACCAAGTAAGAGTGTCTTGAACTTCAAATTTTAGTTGAAATCAACAACTTTCAGTAGGCCTATCAATGTGGTAATATAAGGTACTCGAAAGTCACGTCTGTGCGTTACCAAGTTTCTCGGCACTAGAGCACTTGTATCAAAAACTGATATGTGTATTAGATAGCCCATCAAAAGTTAGTGGAAGATCAATAAGAGTTTCAAAGTAAATGACTTTAATTGAGCCAAAATATAAACTAAATTCGATTTTTGGTAACGCACAGACACCCATTTTTCTTAGTTTTTCGAAGGACTTTTCTCATAAAAATAACAATCTGTGGAACTTCTAAATAGATGAGAAGAAAGCCCAAATTCTTGGCTTCAAAATGGTATAAGATACTTGATGATCAACACTTTCCTTCTTGAGTTGTATACTTTTTTCTTATGCCCTGATCAATCATGCAATATTGTAGTGATCCAGAATTTTATTTTGTCCGTGTTTTTTCTTTTTAAAAACCACCGACAGACAGAACAAAATGCAGCATCCTACGCGGAAAAGTGTGCTCTACAACTTAGTACTAATTACTTTTGCTGATTTTTAACTTCTACTTTAACCATGCAGGTTGACCGTTAGCTGTTTTTCATGTTATATTCATATATAAATATATATTCTTAATATACGATAGAAATATAAATATCTATTAAATCTTCTGAGAATTTTCATCAATTATATTCATATTAGACATAATATTTCATCATATTAAACGAGTTATTCAATCTATTCTACTTGTTTTTTCTTAATTAAACTATGGAAAATGCTTCGTTGAAAAGATGATAGATTAACTGTAGAGTTTCATAAATCGAATATCTATTGTTCGAGTTGTTTTTTATATTAGAAATCGATATTTGTTATCAACAAAATCAAACTAATTTGAATTATTTGTTCAAAACGAATAAATATATAATAATCGAAATAATTTAATTAAACTAAATCTAATAAATTGAATAAAAAGATATTAAAAAAAAAAGAAAAGTGTTGTTTTTTTTTGTTAAGGTTGTTGTTTAAATGATTTATGTTCAAATGATGGAAACATAATCGATAAATTATGTATGATGTATTGTTGTTCATCGGATATGTGTCGATCAATAATCGAACAACATTTAAAAAATGATTTATTTAAACGTCTTGATAAAAAAAGATCTTTTAAATGAATTTAATTATTTCTAAACAATTCGTGATATAAATCGTCAATATGATGAAATTGTTTTAACAAATTGTATAATTGATGAAAGAATTTTTTTAGAAAATAAATTTCAATTAAATGACTTATGTAATTCATTAAATGAAAATCAATATTCAAAATCTTCTCAAAATCTAACATCATCAACAGCAAATCAACATATTACATCGAATGGTTATGAAACAATTTCTTTTAATCAATATTTAACAT